TGCATAGGGTCTCTATGAGTCAGTACCAACTCTATGGCACCTAACAACAACAAGAAGACAGGTCTGGTGAAAAGAGATGAGGACAAGACTGTCATGATTCAATAGTGACTAATTGTTAATCATGACTAATTGCAATTGTCACAACTGTAAAGGGAGAGGTTTTGTAACAAAAAAAGGTGAGTGGTCAATCTTACAGTCCCGGAGCGGAGGACCCTGGGACCATCAAGGGAGAAGAGCGGGAGTGGAGTGTGGGACCCTATCCAGAGAAGTGGCAATGCCAGAGATGGAGGCAGAAATGATGACATGGAGAGATGGAGAAGCTGAGGACTCTAGATTCACGGAAGGAGAGGAGATGTGTGCTGGCAGCCAGGGGGGCAGGCTTGTAGGGTGTGCCCTTTGGCTGTTTGAATGATTGTATATTCCTGAGTGTTTTGGTGCACATCCAAAAAACAAAAACAAAAAACCAGAGGGATTAGAAGCAAATACTGTTGAAAAGATCGAATGATGAAGCATTCAGGGGATTGTAGTTATTGCAGTGAAATGAATACTATAGGAGGAGTGTAAAACTGATGTTCCCCCATGTAAACTATCACTCAGTTCACAATAAAAACTTAAAAAGAAAAGAATATATAATCATTATCATTTATTATATTGGCTGCCAGCACACATCCTTTCTCTTTCCATGAATCTAGAGTCCTCAGCTAGATACTCTCTCTCTCCATGCCCATATCTTACAGAGCTCTTTTAAGACTAAATGCCCACAGGGCACACCAGTCCACTATAAGCCTTAGCTTATATGGGTCTATGGTCAGCTAATCTAACTCCCCAATTATGTGCCTGGAGGCACCTCACTTTGCAAGCAAACTTCCTGCCCTACATCACTCAACTTTACTTGGTCTGTGCACTGGGAAGCCCATCCCTCTGTCTTGTGCTCTGCCCTTTGTTTCTGCTGCAGCTGCTCCTCTGTCACTCCTCTCTTGTCACAGTTTTCTGTCCCTAAATCCAGGGGTTCAGTGCTCAGGAATCCCAGGGTCCAAAGGACATGCTCTACTCCTGGCTCGCTCTTCTTGCTGGCAGTGCGATCCCCTGCTCCTGCTTTGAGATATGGGTCATTTCATAACAATTAACCTTGTTAACAATCACTCCTAATTACATAATCCATCATCATCACCTCTCATCTTCTCTTACCCAGACGCATCAGGAAAAAGTGATTTGGTGGGAACTCACAGGGACTATGACTAGAAGAGACATTAGAGAATTCACTGTGCTACGGGAGTGTTAGGAAACCAGTGGAACTGAGCGAGCAGCAGAGGCAGGCAAGCTTCGGGGAGTCAGAGAACTAAATGTCCCCTCCTTTGAAAGCATGTTTTGTCTGATAATGAAAGGAGTATGCCCTTATTCTGTAACGTTTATAAAACATTGAGAAATACCCACTCATCCACTGCCATCGAGCTGACCCTCTAGGATAGAGTAGAAGGACTCCATGAGGTTTCTGAGACTAAATTTTTACCGAGGCAGACAGCCTGGTTGGTAGATTTGAACCGCTGACTAATGTTGTTGTTGTTGTTGTTAAGTGCCGTCGAGTCGGTTCCGACCCATAGCGACCCTGTACAGGGTTTCCGAGGGTGTAAATCTTTACGGGAGTAGAAAGCCTCATCTTTCTTCCGCGGAGCGGCTGGTAGTTTCGAACTGCTGACCTTAAGGTTCACAGCCCGATTCGTAACCACTACGCTACCAGAGCTCCTAATAATCATCAACAATCCGAGCCACCAGCAAGCACTGCTGGTGTCTTGGCATATTGCTTCTCAGTTTTTTTTCTTTGTGTTGTTTTTTTTTTTTCGCCCTGTGTGACTTTCTCTCGACATACCACAGACATGATTTATAGCCTTTTGACCCCATAACATTAAAATCTATGCACATTTTTGTGACATTATAAACTCCTTGTAAATATGAGTTTAATGACAGCATAACATTTCAATATGTGTAGATGGTGGTTATGTGCTTCTGACTCATAGCAACCCCGCATAGGGTATCCAAGGTTATAAATCTCGGTGGGAACAGAAAGCCTCATCTTTCTCCTGTGGAACAACTCATAGTTTCGAACTGCTGACCTTGAGGTTGGTAGCTTGACTCGTAACCAGTACGTTACCAGAACTCCTTACCATCACGTTTTCAGAGAGCCACCAGTTGTGGGGCACGTTTGGGACTTAGTTTCCCTGAATAAAAAAGGAGTCACCATCAAGTCGACTCCAACCCCTGGTGACCCCACCTGTGTCAGAGTAGAACTGTGCTCGGTGGGGTTTTTAGGGGCTGAGTTTTTGGAAGTACATCGCTCAACTTTTTTTCTAAGGCCTTGGGGTGTACTTGGAACTGCTAACCTTTTTTTTAGCAGCCAGAGATTATTTGCACCGTCCAGGGACTCCTGTCTCCCTGAATAAATGTCTGCATTCCAGCCTTTACGGTGGATCATGGGAAAGAAAGATGGTCCATCTCCCTTCCCCCTAGGGTGTAGACATCAGGCTTACCTGTCCTTGTGGAAGGATAAAGGTGGTATCTACATTCAAAATGAGTTGCTGTGGGAAAGGAACCCCTGAATGCTGTGTGAGGAAGTGATTTCCCTCCATTTCTTCATCGGAATAACTGAACCCTGCCCACAAGACTGGCTTCCATGAGGATTTTATGCACTAATGCATGTCTGGTGCAGAGCAGTCGCCTGACCTTGTAGAAGCTGTTGTTATGACCAAAATCTTTATCTCTTGATCCTCTCATCTGGTAGTCGATCAGGATCCCCAAGACCACCCTTGGATTCAGTAATTCTCTGGAAGAGCTCACTCACTCAGCATGTAGTCATGCATTCTCATGACTAGGATTGATTACAGTCGTGGTGGTGGTGTACCGCCAAATCGGTTCTGACTCATCGCGGCCCTCTATAGAGTTTCCGAGGCTGTAAATCTTTATGGGAGCAGGAAGCTTCACCTTTCTCCCACAGAGTGACTGGTAGATCTGAACTACTGACCTTGTGGTTAGCAGCCCAGCTTGCAATCCACTGCATTACCCGGGCTCCTTATTACAGTCAAAAGACAGAGTAAGATCAGCAAGAAGAAAAGGGGTACAGGGTGAAGTCTGCCAGGCACAAGCTTCCTTGTCCTCTCCTAGTGGATATCTATGGGATATGCTTCATTTAATGGTGACACTTGACTGACAACACATGCCAAATGCGTCCTGCCAGGAAAATGCAGCACCTGACTGGGTCACAGAGGCACCTCTGCTTGTACCCATTCCAGACTCCCAGAGGGAAAACAGGTGTTTAGTGTTAACCACATTGTGTACTCCAGCCCAGGCACAGCAAGCTGCTTTACTAAGGAATGGTGGGCACACTGTCCCCATCCCATGTTCCCAGACTCAAGCCAAGGATCCACCTTCGAAGCAGGATTTCTAAGAGTAACAGTCACGGGCCCGATATGCTAACTTGTTCTGCACAGATAGGCTACGGGATTGTATTTCTTGTGTTTGAACCATTTCACTAGATGTTCTCATTTCATAGTCCAAAACCACAGGCTAGGTAAGGGTAGGGACTTAAGGGCTGGGCTGGCCTCCTTCTCTGCTTGAGGAGCCCTGGGAGGAAGCGAGACTGGGTAGTGGATCCTCCACCGTCTCCAATTCCCACTAACCTATTTGCCCCCTCTTTCTCTAGGCTCTGAAGGGCTCCAAGAAGCTGGTGCTGTCTGTGTACTCAGCAGGGCGCATCCCGGGGGGGTATGTCACCAACCACATCTACACCTGGGTGGACCCGCAGGGCCGCAGCACCTCTCCACCCTCAAGCCTGTCCCAGCCTCACGGCAGCTCCCTGAGACAGCACGAGGGTGACCAGAGGAGCACCCTCCACCTCCTGCAAGATGGGGATGAGAAAAAGGTGAGCTGCCCGCCTCTGCCTGGCAGGTTGATGGTGGGGTGGAGGGCTGGCAGGTGGGAAGACTGATCCCTGAGATATCATTTGCTCTTGCCCATTCCCAGAACAGAGACGCTTCTTAGAGGTTGGAAGAAGGGGCTTTGTTTTGTTGGGGCTTTGTGTCCCTCAAGTCCCTGAAAGATGTTGTATTTTGTTTTTGGTGGGGCAGTGTATATGATGATGTAATAAATTGAATCAGTGAGGTGATTTCTCCCTTGTATAGCAGAATAGAGGTGACAGTCTGTGCTGAGGGACAGCCGTGACCTGCTCCATGTGTTATTATCCTGTCACCATCCCCAGTGAAACTGGGCCAGGCCAAGCCTCTCTTCTTGCCCCTAGGAAACAGGAAGGAGGAAGCTCTAGACTTCTCTTTAATTCGAGATCTTTGCTTCCCATTGGTCCAGGCCCAGGCATGTGGTCATCTGCAGGTGCAAGAACTCTGGACTCCATGCTCCCCAGTGAACCTTTTGTAGTGTGGGATTTGGGTTGCAAGTAACAGAAATGTGTGTGACCAACTTCAGTAGAGTAGGAACATATTGAAAGGGTGTGGGCAGTCCCAGAATTGAAACTGGAGGACTCAGGGTACAGCTTCTATGAAGAAGGGATCCCCACCATTTCCGTCCTTTGTGTTCTTTTCCTCAAGACTCATATTCCAGAGAGGGAGCACTTGATTAGTTGGCAGAGAGGCTAGAGCACTTTGGTTGACAGTCCAGGAAGATGACAGCCAGTAGGGAACCATTTCCAGTTGCCATGGCATCTTCCCTGACTTACGGTGACCCCATGTGTGGGGTCAGAATAGAACTCTGTTCCATAAGGTTTTCAATGGCTGATTTTCTGGAAATAGATCTCCTGACATTTCTTCTGAGTTGCCTCTGAGTGTACTCGAATCTTCATCCTTTCAGCTAGCAGCTAGCTGAGCACATTAACTGTTTGCACCACCTGGGACTACAAAGTACCATTAGGATGTTCTAACCTGAAAAAAGGAGACAGGGCTGCTGGGCAGGCAAGGTAAACAGAGTTTCCTACAGAGCTCCCGGAGACTGTGACTGTTTTTGTTGTGGTTGTTGTTTTAAGGAAATACTAAAAAATGATCTCCCTGGATGTTGTTGTTTGCGGTGCACCCATGACTGCTCCTAGGACCAAGAATGTAACCCTTCCAAACAGCTCTCTGTGTTTTAGCATCTTGGCACCAACAGCCAGGAGGCCACAGGGCTTGGGGCTCCCAGCAGCACATCTTCCCTCTGGAGACATTCTCTGCACTCGTCTTCCTGTCGATAAGACTATAACATTTATTTAATGTGTTTGTGTTCTTTGCTCAAACGTCAATATGCAGAACGAGACAGAGATCTTGGTGCGAGGCTCCTAGGCAGCTCGTTGGTATGCATTGCGGCCCCCACTTGGACCTCTGCCAGGTTGCCAAGGCTGAGGGATGGGGTAGGGAGGTGGGTTAGTGTCTCCTCCCCACTGGGAGTGTTGCTCTCTGGAAGTCTTGAGAAGAGCAGGCTGGAGAGAGAGGTGCTGCCTGTGGTGTTGAATCATTGTCAAGGCCAACCTTCAAGTGCCGGGCAAAGAGCTGGTTTTCTTATGCCAGGTGCAGTGCTTGGGGTGGTACTGACGGCTGATGGAGCCTCAGAGTGTGCAGGCAGTGTGGCGAGCCCTGTGCTCCTCACAGCTTCTTACTGAGTCCTCCCTGCAGGTACATTTCATGATCCCTGTTTTACAGGTGAGGGATTAAGACCAGCACTGGGCAACTAGGACCAATCCATCCATCGAATCAGCAACTAGTTATTAAGCACCTCTGGTGTGCCTGACACTCTTATGGGAAATGGGAACCAAACAGTAGACAGAAGACTTGAGGTCCCTGCTCTGGGGAAGCTTCTGGTGAGCTAAGAGGTGGTGAGGAGAGTGAGTCTAGTCATGGACATAAATGACGAGATAGTTAAGTGATGACCCTTTACGGTAAGAAATAAAATCTGGAGAAGGGATAGTGAGTGATGGGGACAAAGGAGCAGTTTCAACTCAGGTGGTTAGGGAAGGGCCTCTCTGAGCGGGCACTTCTGAACTGAGATCAGAAGGAGCCACCGTGTGCATTTTCTAGGGTCAGGGCAACCTAGAGAGAGAGGGCGGCATGTGCGAAGGCCCTGAGGTAGGAATGAGCCTGGTGTCTTTCAAAGCCAAGAGATAAAGACCACATCACTGGAGTTGAGTGAGTGAGAGGTGATGGGAGATAAGGTGCCCTCTGGGAATCTTGGAGTAACTTATATAAGAATGTGGAAGTCAGAGGCTGGGCAAATCGTGCTCAGAGGAGGACCCGGATGCCACTGTTGTTAGTAGGTGATGCCTTGAACCAAACCGGAGCTTGTTCTTCACAAACCTCTCTGCTCCAGACTGAAGCATCCACCCTTCTTCATGTTCCTCCTCTTTCTCATACAACATGAAAACCCCATTTACCTCTTGGAGGTGGCACAGGGATGGCGTCTCTTAAGACTCAGCAGCCTGCGGCCTGGTGAACTCTGTTCCTCTCTTCTCTAGCAGACTGGTCTCACCATTCAGTATCCAAATAGCCAGGACTAGACTCCTGGACTTCCAATGCCAAACTTCAAAACCCCTACACCCAACTCCAGCAGAGCTGTGCCTCCTAGGGAAATGAAAGCAGTAGTGATGAAGAATCATCCACGTAGCAAAATTACCCTTGGAAACTATGAAGCTGTCCATTGACTCTGGCTCTGGTTCTGCGTGTTCTTCTCTCTACACTGAAGTGTGAGAACTGTCGTCTGAAACCCAGGAGGGAAACAGAACATGCGTTAACTCTCCGCCTGTCAAGCTCATCCACTCTCAAGTCCGTGTGACATCCGGTGAGACAAGCAGGGCAAGGCTCAGTGTTCCCTCCTGGGTGACTCAATTCTGTGCTAACCCTGAGCCTCGGTAATATATTGTAGTGAGTCTGTGTGAGTGTCAGTCACTGAGACTCCCAGGGGTCAGTTCCTGGCTCTGCCATTTGGTAACTGTGACTGTGGACAAGTTACCTAATGTCTCTGTGCCTCGGTTTCCTCTTCTGGAAAATAAAACAACAGGAGGACTACTGTGCAAATTCCAGGGCAATGGGTTTCAGTGTCCAGATCAGGGCCTGCCTGGTACAGTGTAAACAACAACAACAACAACAGTAACCTCAAACAATAAAAAAAGAACCAATTCCTACCAAGTCGACTCGGACTCATGGTGCCCCCATGTGTGCAGAGTAGAAACTGCCCCGAAGGGTTGTCATTGCTGTGGCTTTTCAGAAGGTGACTTTTCTTAGCGATGCCTCTAGGTGGATTGGAATCATTGCTGACCCTCCAATTAGTAACTGTTTGGACCACCTAGGGACTCCTTGGCACAGTGTTGATGCCCAGTAATTGTTATATAAATGACTGGTTCAAGTGAAAAACCTTGCCTGGCGCCTAGCACATACGAGATCTTGATCAATATTTGCTGAGTTTGAAATAGATCAGACCCATGCACTTGTCTGCAGAGTTAAAGGGAAGCTCAGGGCCATGTGATTTACACGAGAGCATTTCTTGTTGACTCCTCTGCATACCTCTCATCAGCATGCCCTTGGTTAGGGTGCCCAACCCCACAACCTCCAGGGAGAGGAAGGTGCGTTCCACCTTTCTGCTACCCCTGTTCATCCACAGCAAAGCTGACACACATCCAAGGTGAAGCTTCCAGGTCGTAGGTTTTGTGGTCCTTACTTGGTTAGCTGGGGCCAAAAGAGAGGAGGACCATTTCTGTGTTGCTCTGGGGCCCAGTTTCTAGTTTGGTCATGGTACCTCCCCACTAAACTGCAGATCAGCTCTGAGTTTGCATGGACCACAAACTGTTTCTCAGTCCTGATTGCAGAGGGGCAGCTTGGGGCACAGGCAGAACGTCTCACAGTAGCACAGAGAAGGACTTTCAGGAGAAGGGCTCTTCCTCTGCCTTCTGCTGTTTGCATAGGTCTCACGTACGTTCCTATCACTGGCTCATGGTCTGTTTCAGGAACACAGGGCGGCGACAGTAAAGTCGGACACAGTGGCCATCCAGACAGAGGTAGGGGACTAGGCCAAGTAGGACCTCACAGGCCTCTGTAGAGTCTGGGGATTTTGCTCTGAGTTAGATAGGAGCCATGGTAGAGCTTTGAGCAGAGGAGAGACGTGATGCAGACTAGGTTTCCACAGGATCACTGTGGCTGCTAGGTAGAGTTGAGAATGCAGGAGCAAGAGGGAAATGCGCTGCCCATTCATCCCAGTCCTTACAACAACCTGAAAGGTGGCTGTCAACTGTGAATGCTTTGGGCTGCATGTAACAGAAAGCCTTCATTCATGTCAGCAGTTCGAAACTACCAGCTGTTCCGCGGGAGAAAGATGAGGCATTCTGCTCCCGTAAAGATTTAAAGCCTCGGAAACCCTGTACAGGGTCGCTATGAGTCGGAACCAACTCCACGGCACACAACAACAACAACAACAAACCTTAAGTGTGCTTATTTCTTTCTTAAGAAGTACGGGTCCAGGCAGCCCCAGGTATGTTCCCAAGTCTGTCCTTCCTCGGGCTTGTGGCTTCACAGTGGCAGGACAGACAGCTGCTGTTCCAAAAGCAAAGTGGGAGGAGCCGTGCTCTTCCTGTGCCTCGCTCTTTCCAGGGTGGGCAGTTCTCAGTATCACCCACAGACATCCTTCCATGTCTGTTGGCCAAAGCAGATCTAGATCTCCCCACATCCATGCCAGTCCTTGGCAAAGGGGGATGAGATGCCTGGACTGGCATCTCCCAGGGCTGCACCACCACGATCCTATGGCTGATGGCAATGGGATTTATTCCAAGGTTGCCCAGGAGGAAAGGTGAGGGTTAGCACGTGAACTCAGGCCTGTGGGGGCTGCATTGTGCTCTGGCTCTGCAGTCAGGCCAGTCTAACCCCGCTCTGCCAGCTGCCAACTGTGTAAACTTGATGA